TTTTCCGGGCCAACCAAGGCTCATTCTCAGCCCTCTTCTTGAGGGGGTCTGCTTCAGGCCGACCAGGCCCAACACGCCCACTCTCCACCGATTGGTCAAGTGACGCGTTACCCTCCCCTTTAATCAAATCTTCTGATTGGCCTTGCGGTTGTAACGGAATTGAAGTGATGTAACTATCTAGAGTTGTATTTTAATACACTGTAAGTAGTTCACTTTTTATAAACAGAAGAATAGGCTGTTTTTATCTTCAGGGAGTTTAATTAAACACTCTGTATTGACTTTGAGACAAGAAAAGAGAGAGAGATGGGATCGTTTGAGAATCTTTAATTTCTGAATTATAAATTCTAAACAATCTACCAGGACTAACTCTGTGATGGATGAAAATGGATTTGGATGTTGTGTTGGTGCGTGTGTGTGTGTGTGTGTGTGTCTGGTTCAGACTCTCTAGGCTGACGTCAATGAATCTGGTCGTCTTTGTTATGACTAGATATCACGAGGCTTATAAAGTGATGACATGAGCCGCTATTTTGCCATGTACGTACCCAGCGGGGGTCTCCCAGGTAGATCAGGAAATGCCAGGTCTGGAGACCTCGGATGTACGATGGAGCTGTCGGTGCAGCGATCACAACGTTTCAAAGCCCGTCTGGAGGGTCGACCCCGGTACCGTTCGGCGGCGTTGGCAGGTGCTCTTATTTTGAAAGGATGTCGTCTGGTTGTTAAACGACGAAAATCTCCAACTTCACAGTTCTTAGTTTAAAGACGAAACACATCTGGCCAGGCTGTGCTTTTCTTTAGGATGACGGTGAATAGAACTGAAGTCAAAATGGAACTGACTTAAAATGGCGTTGCCTTGTTTTATATCTCTGAATTGTTGATAAGTTGTAGTAAAGCGGATTGGACACTTTAAGTCAACACCAGATTCTCCTGCGGCAGCCGAAAGCTCTGATTGGTTGGAACAATGTGTCATGCGTTTCTATGGAGATGAGGATCAGTATGTCTGTGCCGTAGTCCTGTTTTCATTAAACATGATTCATGACATATTTATTTCACAGATCATTCACTTGATTATTGTTGATCAACATCTGTTTTGCTTAATAATTTTAATCACAAATAAAGTACTTTGATTAAGTAAAGTTTCTTCTTCTCCTTCGGACTCTTCTCCTGGAATGTAAACAGTCTGAGGAACACCCGACCTTGGTTTTTCTACACAGTGTTATTGTGCACAGGGGGCAGCTGTGTGGAGTTGCAAATAATGAACTTCATAACCTTACACGGTGTTTACATTTAGTATGTGTAGTGATGTCACAGAATCGCGCCAAACTCAATCTTCAGCATCCATTTTTTGCTTGCCTTCTCCAGCATCGACATGTCTTCTCCCTGCTCGCAGACCTCATCTTCGAACCCCTGGAGCAACGAGGACGTTAAAATCTTCCTCTCTTTGCTCGCCGACGACAGAGTCCAGGGCAAACTGGACGATTCTGTGTGAAACGAAAAGATTTTTCAGGGGCTTGCACAAGCAATGTCCACCCACGGCTACGAACGCACATCCAAGCAGTGCCATGAAAAAATAAAAAAACTTAAAGCTGAGTACAGGTCCGTCAAGGACCACAATAGCAGGAGTGCGGCAGACCGGCGGCACTGGAAATGGTTTGCCGACATGGATGCCATTTATGGTGAGAGGCCTGTGAGTAATGGCCGGGAGAGTGGCGTGGACACGGCTACTCCAGCTTACACTGGCACTCAGGACAACAGTGAGTGAGCACTTATCATAATAATTAATAATATGACCTCCCATTTGTGCTACACTGGACTATATAGTGTGGACAAAATGCTGTGCTAGCTTTGGGTAGCGCTGATATGGGAACAAAAGGCTAGGCTAATTACAGGCTAGTTAATAGAGGTGCAATAAAGTGTTTGACAATGCAACGTGTAATCCATCACTGTGCCCATCTCACAGAATGTGAAGTGGAAGGGTCCAATTATAGTTTCAGTATAAAAATGTATGTGCTAAAATAGCATACACCAGCCATGGATATTTGCTTTATTCAACTTTGAGATTTATATAGGAATAAATAGCAGGTAGGTGTCAATGTAGACAAGATTAGGTTGTATGTCAGCAGGAGTGTAGAGAAGGATCAGAAGCTCAAATGTGCACTCCACACTTGGCTAATAAGAACTTTTGTCAGTCAGGCATCAATGTAAACAAGTCCAAATATTTACTTGCCCTTGCCTTAATGACCAGTCTTGAGGCATATGGCTACGCCTTGGATGTGCATAAAAACAATTGCTTAAGTCAGCTTTATCTAGCTGATCTGCATTAATTCAGACAGGATGTCCATATAATTTATTTGAATTTAACAAATGGTAGTTGTTTTTTTTATTCTTTTTGTCAGCAGGCGTGTTTAGAAGTATCAGAAGCTCAAATGTGTGCAGTCCACACTTGACTTAATACAAACTCATGAAATATATTTGCTCATGTTTACAATTTTTAGGTGGTGGTGCATAAAATAACGTTCAAAGGTCAAACATTTGCTGAGTGGATAAAACTTAATTTGAGCAAAACATTCAGTCGGATGTAATCCAATTACTGCCCCACAAGGTGCATCATCAAAGCATCATGCTTTGCTTTCCCTCCCACGTCTCCTGTGTTTTGTGGTGGTGCAGCCACAGGTTCAGGGTATTCTGTTTCAGTTGTCCACACATTGTCATAATTCTCCCCATGGCTCACACAGATTATGCAGGGCACAGCAGGTCAGAATCATGGAACGCACCAGACTGACATCACAGTCATTCCTTTTAAGTAGGCAGCGCCACCTTCCCTTCAGCCTACCAAAGGCATTTTCAACCACCACACGTGCCCAGCTGAACTTCTTGTTAAAAAGAAGTTGCTGCTCTGTCAGTGGCCCAGTGTCTGTGAATGGTTTCAGAAGCCAGTCTTGCAGCGGGTAAGCAGAGTCACCCAGGATGCAGTATCCAAAGTCAGTGTCAGCAATTTGGATGGAATGATCAGGGAAGAGATTTCCATGGCTTGCCAAATCCCAGATGGAGGAAAGTCTCAGTACCCTCGCGTCATGCATGCTCCCTGGAAGCCCTGCAAAAACGTTCCAAAACAGTCCCTTTCCATCAACCACAGCTTGCAAGATGAGTGAGTGCCACCCTTTCCGGTTGAAATAGTCTGTGTGAAAGTTTCTGGGTGCTATGATGAGGATGTGTGAGCCATCAATAGCATCCACACACTGTGGCAACCCCCACCGGCTCTCAAAATAGGACGCTATCTCCCAAAATTTACCCTCATCGGGTAAATGAATCAGTTCTGGCAACAGCAATGCTTCTGCAGCAGCACAAAAGTCCTTCACACACTTGGCAACAGTTGAGATGCCAACACCAAACAAAACACTGATGGGTCTGTAATCTGAACCTGTAGCAAATTTCCATAAAGCAATAGCCACAATCTTCCTCAGAGGCACACACTCACGGAAGAAAGTGTCTTTTCGCTGCAATGCTGGCCGCAGTTTGTTGCACAAGAAAATGAATGCATCCTCAGACATTCTGAAGTGCTTCAACCACTGCGCTTCCGTGTAACGAGGCACGTAATTATCCCACTAGAGGATCGGCTGAGAGACCAGATTGCGTGTCTGCGGCTGGAGCCTTCCAAAATAGCCATCTAAAACAAATTAAATGTATTTTATTATCTTGGAGTGTATTAAACACGCACGTTAGAATTATAATTTTAGCAATTACCAGGATGCGTCCTCTGCGTTGTCGTAATCGCAGCAATCTGTTGTACTGCTTCAGAATGGCTTCCAGTATGACTCGGCGACGCTTTGCAGATTTAATCCTCCTCTCATCCCTCCTCAGCTGGCGAAGCCGACGCCTTTCGGCCTGTCTAGCACAGAGTCTGGGCCCCAATACAGCAAAAAATGTATGTTTGTTTTACTATTTTATTGGTGTGTGTTGCAACTTCTTAATTTTGAATGAGCGATCTGAACTCCAGCTTAGCTTTTGACTGCAGGCACACCATTGGTAAATAAACCCATTTATTTGATGTTAGATAGCATATTTAGCAAGTTAAAGAAATATATAAATTTGAAGTAAAGTGTCACGCGACAACAATGTTTGAGTTTGGTTGTATGATGGTGGCTGAGTCATGGAGGGTGCAGAGATTAGGGTGGATACTTTGGTGTAAAGTTGGGGTATTCAATTCTGGGCCTGAAGGGCCAGCACATGTTAATGGTTTCTCTGCTCCAACACATTTGATTCAGCGGTTGAATCACCTGTGCAGCACCTAATCAGGCTCTGCAGATGCCTATTAATTACCTGCTGATTGAAATCTGGTGTGTTGAAACAGTGAAAACTAAAGCATGTTGGATACCGGCCCCCCAGGCCTGGAATTGAATACCCCTCGTGTAAAGTTTTTCTATTTCTCAGAGAATTTATGAGCAAAATATTCTCATTTCGTCTACCATTCAACAATCAAGACAACCCAAAAACAGATTAAAATAAGGCCATGCCGTATTTTAACGACACGCAGAACATTTTTTTAGAGACAAATGTGAACTGTTAAAAACTGTCTTGTGATCATGTTTCAGTGGATGATTCATTGGTCATTGCCTCAAGATTTTTGTACTATTCTACTTTATTCTGTTCAATTTTTACCTGTTTTTAATATTTAAGGAGGCTGGATTTTAATATAAAACTTGTCATTCATTTTAAGAAAAGTCCTACTTTAAATTGGAACAATTAAATGTTCAAAAAAATCGGCTTTTTTTATTAACATTTGTGTGGTTCTACTAATGCAAAACAGCTATGATATTTAAAAAAAAATTACAACAAAACAAAGCCCAGGACTCATAATTACCCTGATCTTTGAGAAGATTACACATTCAGATGGTTTCTTGTGTCCCAAGGTGTATTGTTGGCACATATGAGGGATTAAGGTTGCTGTATAACTCAAAACCTTTATGACTCTGTCAGTTATTGACTCGAGAACAAGTGTACCTTATTACCAAGTTGCACCCATCTGCATCTACAGGCATTAGATCATGGCAGGGACAAAACCTACAGGTGTTCTTTTTCTTCACATCATGTCCCTTCTGTGTATAACTACCCTTTGCTTGGTAAGAAACTGGTTTATTTTGACTACGATTGTAATAATTATCAACTTGATGTGTTTGCTAATCGATAACTTCCATTTGACATTGTTTAGCCAACTCAAAGGATTTTAGGTAAGTGATTTTTTTAGTGAGTGTCACTCTTTAAGTGACTTTCTCCCCAAGTTTATTCACGCTCACCGGTTTATGCTGTTCACAGACTTTGATGTAGACGGTGGACGGGACCTTGACATTTTTGACATCAATGAAGGTTTTGTAGAAAGACCTTTGCTTCACATATCCTGAATTTGATAGTTATATTTTAAACCAGTTCCCTTTGTGGTCTTTGTCCCCACAGAGGCAGGGCTGAATCTGGTAGAGGGGGACATTGTGATTGATGAGGTAACTGGTTTCTACTAATTTTGATTTTCATGCACACTACATAATTTTTTGAGATTTTTTTTAATGATTGCATTTGTTTGCCTCTGCAGAAGCTATCTCGTAATTCCATCATTGGTGAGGAGTACCTGTGGACAAAAACAATTCCTTACTACATGGAAGATGACTTAGGTAAGAAGAGCTGTTAGAAAATTTGCAAGTTATCAAGTCGTCATTTATAAATGTAAACCAACTATTCTATTGATACAAAATGGTAATTAATAAATGACTTGTATTTGTATAGCACCTTCTAGGTTCTACAACCCCCAAGGCACTTTACAACACATCCAGTCATTCACCCAGGCACACACTCATTCACATGCTGGTGGTGATGAGCTACAATGTTCATGGTAATCCAAAAGGGTTCAAATGAAGGAAACTGGACTTCTTTGGTTTCTTGAAGACATTTTGCTACTCATCCAAGGAGCTTTGTTCAATTCTGACTGGAGTATGGGAGAGTCAAACTTATAAGCGGTAACAGTATACTGTTGTTTAACAAGGAGAAACTACTCAGATCAACCATGACATCAGATCAACCATTTATTCCTCCATGTCAACCAACACAACCAGACAACAGCTACAGTCTCACAGCAACAATCTGGCTAGAATGCCAGCTTTCACTCTGGTTAGTGCTAAAACACTGGAGGACATAGTAAAGACCTTAAACTCATCTGTCTGCTGTCTGAACAACCTGCCAACTAACTTCTTCAAAAATGTTTTTAACTGCTTTAAAGCTGATGCACTGAAAATTGTTAACTGTTCCCTAATGTCAGGTATTCTTCCTAAATCAGTGAAAACTGCTGCTGTTAACCCTCTTCTAAAGAAAAATAAATTAGATCCCTTTGTGATGAATAACTACAGACCAATCTCTAATCTCCGTTTAATTGGGACAATTATTGAAAAAGCTGTTATGATCCAGCTGAACAACTTTTTAGATAGCTTCCAGTCAGGCTTTAGACATCACTGCAGCACTGAGACTGCACTTAATCATCTAAATACAGATTCAGGCAAAACATCTGTCCTGATGATGCTCGGTCTCAGTGCAGCTTTTGAAATTGTGGACCACAACATCCTTCTTGAAAGGCTCATAAACTGGGTGGGGCTTTCAGGCACAGTCCATAGTTGGTTCCAGTCTTATCTTGAAGACAGGGGTCACGTTGTCTATATTGGTGATTACATATCAAAGCTGATCACCGTGACATGCGGGGAGCCCTAAGGTTCTATTCTTGGTCCACTGCTCTTCAATCTCTACATGCTCCCCCTGGGTCAGGTCATACTTAATAACAACATTGCCTATCATAATTATGCAGATGACACCCAGATCTACTTAGCTCTATCTTCTAGTGACTCTGGTCCTCTAGACTCACTCTGTCAGTATTTGGAGCAAGTCAATGACTGGATGCAGTCAAACGTCCTCCAGTTAAACAAAGACAAAGTTATTGTCTTTGGAAATAAGGATAGGATGGAGGTTATTGCTCAACATGGCTCCAGAGGAATAAAGACAAAGGCCTAGGTTAGAAATCTTGGTGTCATAATTGATTCAGACCTGAGCTTCACTGGTCACATTAAAGCTATAATTAGATCAGCATTTTATCATCTTCATCAAATAGCAAGACTCCGGGGTCTCATGTCCAGACAAGACCTAGAGAAACTCATTCATGTGGTCATCTCCAACAGGCTGGACTATTGCAATGATCTTTTGGCTGGTCTTCCCAAAAAAGCTGTGAAGCAACTGCAGCTTATTCAGAATGTTGCTGCTATAGTCTTAACAAGAACCAAGAGAACCGAGCACATGACTCTTGTTCTTAAATCTCTACACTGGTTACCAGTAAACTACTGAGTCAATTTTAAAGTTTTTCTACTAGTTTATAAATCACTTAATGTCATGGGGTAAGAATACTTGTCAGATCTCCTTCAAGTATATACGCCCAGCAGGGTTCTGAGATCCTTAGGAAGCAGTCAGCTGGTAGAACCCCGGGTCAGAACCAAACAGGGTGAAGTTGATTTTAGTTATTATGCTGCACACAGATGGAGTCAGCTTCATGGCCTCAAATGTGCCCCAACTCTAGAAACTTTTAAATCAAAATTGAAAACCTTCATGTTTTCATCCTTTGAATAAATGTCTCTTATGCTGCACATTCTGTACTGTATTTGCTCACCCTTTAACTTGAACTTTGTTTCTTTTTTACAAATTTAATTTTTTTTTCTGTCATGTTGATCTTAATGTTCTTGCTATTCTTGCTAATGGAAACGTATGACATAGATAGCTTCCTTTACTCCTCTCTCAAACCATGTATCTTCTCTGACCAGAATGTGTACTTTGTCATCTTCAAAAGTGTGTCCCTTGTTCAGTTGCCTTCATTTGAACCCTTTTGGAGCTCCAATGTGGCAACAGCTGCTCTGGGGTACACTGGCTCAGGTGAAGCTCCCTGACAACCACCAGCAGGAAAGGTGGAGTAAGTGTCTTGCCTAAGGGCAAAACAACTGTAACAGACTGAGCAGGACTTGATCCAACAACCTTTTGGTTATGAGACAAGAACTTAACTACTTTACCACCATTGCCGCCCTTTAAAATAAGCAAGGCACCTCCAAGGAGCATGGTGTATCATGTTAGATTGAGCAGAAATTGGAAACCAAATTGAAGCCATTTTCTGAACTTAGACTTGGATTTTTTCCACTTTTTCTTTAACACATTTGTTTATGTGTATCATTTTCCTGTAGAGATAAACGCAAAGGGTGTGATTCTAAAAGCCTTTGAACAGTACCGCCTCAAGACTTGCATTGACTTCAAGCCATGGAACGGGGAAGAAAACTACATCTCTATCTTTAAAGGCGATGGGTAAGGCAAGAAGACCTTTTTATTTGCAGAGCTGTTTAAACTGTTTAAACTTTACAAATCCTGCACACAAAGAAAATGGCTGAGATAAGTCGGAGCAGATGCCGTTTGATGGTCATAGAAGCATTGTTTTTCTTCCCAAAGCTGTTTTTCTTCTATTGGCAATCGGCGAGTTGGGAAGCAGAGACTGTCAATAGGAACAAACTGTGACCGCATTGCCACCATAGAACATGAGTTCCTACATGCTCTGGGCTTCTGGCACGAGCAGTCCAGATCAGACCGTGATGATTATGTCCAAATCATGTGGGATCGCATCTTAAGTGGTATGAACAATTAATGATTTATTGCTTTTTTGAGTTTGTGTGTTGTGATTCAAAATTTTTAAGTGACTGAGAAGAACAACCCTCAAGAACAGCAACACAAGTCTATGCAACATGAAAAATGAGATGTTACAATTGAATACAATGAAACACAATGCAATAACCTGCTGTAGGAATACAATAATATGAAGTATGAAATGATAGGGACAGCAGTACTGTAGCTCAGGAGGTAGAGTGGGTTGTCCAGTATTCAGAGGGTTGCAGATGTAAGGGAAATAAGAGGTTCTTACATTTTAATTAATGAGGCGTAAGGCGTGGGATTCCATAGTAAATATGAAATCCACCATACGGTTCAGTGGGTTAGTTAAACCAGAAGATTGGATCTTTTTAATGCAGAGATTATGTAACCGTTATGTATTCACTCAGAGACAACAGAATAGAGAGAGTCAACTTTAAAAGTTACGAATTTTATTACTAACAATTGAACTAGGCTGATTTCAAAACTAAGTGTATAGTGTGACTAAAAATGGATGAGACGATGAATAGATGACGTGTCATGTAAATCAGAACCAGCAAATCCGAAGAAGCGATTAGTTCTGATGGGAACTGAAGATGTTGTTTTGGAATAAGCTTGGGTTAGTTTCAGAACCGCATGAGACACAATCAAGCTGGTCTACCTGCCTTGTGGAAGTCGTCTGGAAAGATCAGGAATGTCGAGACCCAGCGGACCCTCTCTGGACACCGAGCTGGTAGAAGAAGCCGCGGTTCCGATCAGACCCGTCTCGAGTTACCTTGGGCACACGACTCTTTTCTTGGCGTCTGTTCAGACCCGGCCTGGGTCGGTGGAGCTTTTATTCTGAAAGGAGCTGTTGTTGTCGCTGGTTGTTATAGCGACGGGATTTTCTTAGCTTGTCGTGGTTCTTTCGGTTGAAGAGTTAAAGGTCGGATTGGCCACTCCGACGCTTGCTCTGGAATGCTTTGAACTGGCGTTAGAGCTGACATGGCATAGTTTTATACCTCGGATGTTATGGTTTATTGTCGAATGAAAATTACCAAACACCGTCAGAAGCACGCCTCCGTCAGATCTGTAAAATTCTGATTGGATCAGTTAAAAAAATGTGTTGTGTCTTTTTAACACTACGTGAAATGAGTCCTGTTGGAACATTCAAAGTTACATTACTTCATTTCTAAAATCATAATAAAATAATTCATATTTTAATTTCACAGGTCGGTCACATCTTATTATTGACTAACACTTTGATGGATTAGCTTTATTAAAATAGAGTTCTTTGATTAATTAAAAGAAAAGAGTTCATTCTTCTTTCTTCTGTCTTCATTGCTGGAACGCAAACAGTTTAGAAGTGAATCTGTGTGTGAACTAATTGTGTTGTGAAATGCCTTGGGGGGCTGTAGAACCCTAAGAAGGTGCTATACAAAAACAGGCCATTTACCATATGATATAAATACAATATGGTATAGTATGAGACAGAGGTGCCAAAAGCATTTACATGCAATCCTAAAGTAGATGTGCAGATACTAGTGTACTTCTATAAAAGTAGAAGTATATATATACATATATATATATATATATATATATATATATATATATATATATATATATATATATATATATATATATATATATATATATATTCAAGTTTTTTTACTTGAGTAAAAGTTTAAAAAAGACTGATTTAAAACATACTGAAAGTTTAAAATTAAAGTGATGTAAGTTAATAAATGAGAGAAAAAAAAGCCATAAAGGACATAGACACAAGCCGTACCACAACACTAAAATGCTTCCCCAGAAAAAGTTATTACCAAAGATCAAAATGACTATAATGTAAATAAAAATGTTAAGATACGATATGATACAGTACAATACGATAGAATATGATACAATAAGATGCAATACAATACGATATGATACAGTACAATAAGATACGATATGATACAGTACAATAAGATACGATATGATACAGTACAATGCGATGCGATACGGTACGATACAATATGATACGGTATGATAGGGTTACAGTACGATACAATACATCACCATGAGATTAAGGTGTAATACTATATAAAACAAGATCATTTCGTCTTCAATACATTTTGTACAGCACGTGTTACAGTATAAGCAGGTGGATGAGCTGTTTCCTTGACACCAAAATCCAAACAAGATAAGCCACTGAATATCTTATCAGTGCATCAAATATTAACCATTGCTCTTCTTTCTGCAAATGAATTTGATTGTTTTTAAGCATTCATTAAAAGCACAGTCTGCTGTGTTTCATAAGCAATATTTTATCTAAATTTATACCATCTGTGGCCCAACAAACTTTGTAGAAATTCTTGAAAAACCTGTTTGTAAACCATAAAATAACACTTATACTAATGTAGTTTTCACTGACTGTTTAACGAGCAGGCAAGGAGCACAACTTTAACACCTACAATGACACCACCTCCAGCTCTCTGGGCGTGCCCTATGACTACGGCTCCATGATGCACTACAGTAAAACTGCTTTTCGTAACGGCACTGAGCCCACCATCGTCACCAAGATCCCTGCTTTTAGTGATGTCATTGGTCAACGTATGGAGTTCAGTGACAGTGACCTGCTCAAGCTGAGCCGCCTCTATAACTGCAGTAAGCTATCATTTCTTTGTTAGATGAAAAATAAATGCCACAATGCGTAATTCATTATTTTATTGCAGTTCTAAGTACTCCTAAAACTTTGTTTGTTAAATGTGTTGTAGCTCAAGGATCCACCTTTCTGGACTCCTGTGATTTTGAACGTGAAAACATCTGTGGGATGATCCAGGGACCAGGAGATCAGGCTGACTGGGTCAGGGTCTCTGAAGCTACTGGAGGGCCGGATACCGACTACTCCAACATGGGGAAATGCACAGGTGAGAAACAGTGGCGCCCTCAGATAAAATTTCATGGGGGGCCCAGAAAGGGCTAGTGAAATTTTTGGGGTGGCACACCAATGTGGTCCTTGTGGATCCTTTAGGAGCAATTAGCATGCAGTGAGGTTTTTTTCTTTTTCATAAAAACAACAAGATGCATAAAACTCATTTACAAATTAGAAAAACACAACGTTTTCAGGAAACAAAGACCAGATTTCAGTTCTTTTAATTATTGTTTCAAAATGTATTTTTTAAATATTTTAGAACATTTTTCTTCACCCATTTTAGTCTTAACAAAACCATCCAGAAAAGCTATTGATTCATATTCATATTCATATTCATATTCATATTATTATTATTTGAAAATGCTAAGCTTCAGCGATATTTAAACTATACTTTCCTTGCTTAATAATTTTAAATATGTTTATTAGCTTTTACATTAATGTGTTGATTAAAGTAAATGAATGTATGTTTTGTGTGAACATGAATGTGATTTATTAAAGTGGGGTGGGGGGCAGTAGGGTGGCCTTGGCCCCCCCTTTGGCCATCCCTGGTGAGAAGTATTTCAGAGGGAAATGACACAAGTTTCAAGACACCTCTATGATTTAAATTCATATGTCTTATTCCAGATTAATGCCCACGTCTGTCTGATATAAAATTCTTTACATTGTTCACGTTTTTGTGTAGAATGCAAGCAAAAAGTCATTGACATTTAACAGCAATTCTTATGGAAACATTCAGAAACAGACTTGTTTGCTAAGTGTGTGAAATCAATTGATTTGGTTCTGGCTGTTGGTATCTCTCAAGGACATCCATGAGCAATAAATAAATAAAATAAAAAATATATATATGTATATGTGTGTGTATATATATATATATATATATATATATATATATATATATATATTATATATCTATATATCTATATATATGTGTGTGTATATATATATATATATATTTATGTATATATATATATATATATATATATATATATATATATATATATATATATATATATATATATATATATATACAGGTGCTGGCCAGTAAATTAGAATATCATCAAAAGGTTGAAAATATTTCAGTAATTCCATTCAAAACGTGAAACTTGTACATTATATTCATGCAATGCACACAGACCAATGTATTTCCAATGTTCATTACATTTAAATTTGATATTCATAAGTGACAACTAATGAAAACTCCAAATTTGGTATCTCAAAAAATTAGAATATTCTGAAAAGGCTGAATATAGAAGACACCTGCTGCCACTCTAATCAGCTGATTTACTCAAAACACCTGCAAAGGCCTTTAAAAGGTCCCTCAGTCTTGTTTTGAAGGCACCACAATCATGGGGAAGACTTCTGACTTAACAGCTGTCCAAAAGACAATCATTGACACCTTGCACAAGGAGGGCAAGACACAAAAGGTGATTGCTAAAGAAGCTGGCTGTTCGCAGAGCTCTGTGTCCAAGCACATTAACAGACAGGCGAAGGGACGGAAAAAATGTGGTAGAAAAAAGTGTACAAGCTCTAGGGATAACCGCACCCTGCAGAGAATTGTGACGACAAACCCATTCAAAAATGTGGGGGAGATCCACAAAGAGTGGACTGCAGCTGGAGTCAGCGCTTCAAGAACCACCACGAGGAGACTCATGAAAGACATGGGATTCAGGTGTCGCATTCCGTGTGTCAAGCCACTCTTGAACAAGAAACAGCGCAAGAAGCGTCTCGCCTGGGCCAAGGACAAAAAGGACTGGACTGATGCTGAGTGGTCCAAAGTTATGTTTTCTGATGAAAGCAAGTTCTGCATTTCCTTTGGAAATCAAGGACCCAGAGTCTGGAGGAAGAGCGGAGAAGCACAGAATCCACGTTGCATGAGGTCCAGTGTAAAGTTTCCACCGTCAGTGATGGTGTGGGGTGCCATGTCATCTGCCGGTGTTGGCCCACTCTGTTTCCTGAGGTCCAGGGTCAATGCAGCCGTCTACCAGGAAGTTTTAGAGCACTTCATGCTTCCTGCTGCTGACCAACTTTATGGGGATGCAGACTTCACCTTTCAACAGGACTTGGCACCTGCACACAGTGCCAAAACCACCAGCACCTGGTTCAAGGACCATGGTATCCCTGTCCTTGATTGGCCAGCAAACTCGCCTGACCTTAACCCCATAGAAAATCTATGGGGTATTGTGAAGCGGAGGATGCAATACGCTAGACCCAACAATGCAGAGGAGCTGAAGACGACTATCAGAGCAACCTGGGCTCTCATAACACCTGAGCAGTGCCACAGACTGATCGAGTCCATGCCACGCCGCATTACTGCAGTTATTGAGGCAAAAGGAGCCCCGACTAAGTATTGAGTGCTATACATGCACATTCTTTTCATGTTCATTCTTTTCAGTTGGCCAACATTAGAGAAACAAACATTTTTTCATTGGCCTTTAGAATATTCTAATTTTCTGAGATACCAGATTTGATGTTTTCATTGGTTGTCACCTATAAATATCAAATTTAAATGTAATGAACATTGGAAATACATTGGTCTGTGTGCATTGCATGAATATAATGTACAAGTTTCACGTTTTGAATGGAATTACTGAAATATTTTCAACCTTTTGATGATATTCTAATTTACTGGCCAGCACCTGTATATATATATATATATATATATATATATATATATATATTATATATCTATATATCTATATATATATGTGTGTGTGTATATATATATATATATTTATGTATATATATATATATATATATATATATATATATATATATATATATACCGCATTTGCCAACCTCTATTCCAAGAAGGGCATTCTTTTCTTATTACTTTTCAGCTGAACTTCAGGGAACTGCTATGTTGTGGTGTTAAAAATATGCATAGTTTCAAAACCTGGAGTTCGAACACAGAGAATCTTTTTTCAGAACTGACTGACTGAAATGCAAAATGTTTATTTATTTATTTATTTGTACATAAAACATTACATTGGAAGGCATTTATTAAGAACCTTCTCATTGAAAAAAACCGCAGTCTTGCTCGCTGCTATCATTGACAAAAACAGCTGACTGCGTCCAGCAGACTAGGCCCTTTTGTGGAGGCTGTGTAGAAGAAAGAACCCATGACTAAGTGTGACAGAAAACAAGTGACAGAAGGTGCTGCAACAATGTGTAAAATATGAATTTCTTTTATTTTAAGCTGACAAACAAGTGGTTTTATTTCAACATGTCCTAAAATGTTAATACAGCCTTAAAGTTTAAGTGTTGCTATTATTAATCAATGGCATTCATCTGTTTAGGCTCAGGGTACTTCATGCACTTCAACGCTGGTGCAGCCAACACCGGAGACACAGCAATGCTGGAGAGCAGGATCCTTTATCCCAAAAGAGGTTACCAGTGTCTGCAGTTCTTCTACTATAACAGCGCTGGTCCCACTGACACCCTGAAGATCTTTGTCAGAGAGTATAACAGAACCAATCCCAGTGGAACGCTACGCTTTATAAAGACCATAGATGGTGACTACAACAAAGTCTTAATGTTGCTGGAGTTTTGTTTGCAGGATTTTGCTAAATTCTGTGACTTCTCCTACATTCTGTAACAGGATCTCCTCAGCAGATGTGGCAGCTGCACCATGTGAGTCTGGATGTAAAAACAAAATTCCGTGTAGTCTTTCAAGGGACCAAGGTGAGCTCTGGATCTGCAGCAGGAGGACTTTCCCTAGATGACATCAACCTTTCTGAAACCACCTGCCCAGAGTTTATCTGGAGGGTGAAAAACTTCACGAATCTTTTGGAAAACACCCCAACAAACGGATTTCTATTTAGTCCTCCATTTACCTCGAAGGAGGGTTACAGCTTCCAGATGCAGCTTTACCCAAATGGTAAGGGCAATCTTACCGGGGAACTGGCTGTCTTCGCTCATCTGGTGGCTCATGAAGGGGACGCAGGACAGATATGGCCATGTCCTTGGAAACAGATAACCATGATGCTGATGGACCAACATCCACATATTCAAAAACGCATGTCCAATCAGCGCAGTGTCACAACTGACCCCACCATGAAGGCAACAGGTGCATCTACTTACAAAGATGAGATTAAAAATAATAAACAGACATACATTTTATGTAAATTATGTTTATGCAGTCATAAAACATTCTTTTGAACAGATTCGGACCAGTTTTTCTGGGATGATCCTCGTAAGGTTGGTGTTGAGGTGACGGATCCAGATGGATCCAAATACTTCCGGGGGCCAGGCTCTGGTACTACAGTCTATCTGACCCATCTCAGAGCCAAAAGCAGGGATTTCATCAAGGGAGGAGATGCCATCTTTCTTCTCACCATGGAAGGTAACCTCACCAGACAACCTTGAGATTTTCTGCATCTATTTGCTTGAAAAGCTAAACATTTTTTCATGTTTGCCATCATAGCAACACAGTAGTTTCGCATTAAATTCAATCGGCTCCTAGTTGGCTGCATATAACTGCTCACATCTGTTCCCCAAGACGTGTCCCACCTGACCATGACCCAGCCTCTGCCGTCCACGACTTCAGAACCTGCAACCACAAATCCTTCAAACATCTGCTTCAACGTTGAGTGTGAAAATGGTGGAGTCTGTGTTGCAGATGAAGGCAAACCTGCTTGCAGGTGAGCGGTTTTTCACTAAAGTGAAATGGAAACAATAAATCCATATATATTTCTGAAAGCTGGTGATTTATGATGAAATCATCAAAAAAGATCCTAAATTTGGAAAACAATCCAACTTAAAGCAGCAATAAATATGTTTTCTTTCGTAAACAACCCTGCCACCACCTGCTACCACTGCCCTAAAGTTGAAGTGGTAGCAGCCGGCTTTATTATAGTTCATCAGCAAACATTTTTTTAATGTATAAAACCTGTCCACTTTTTCACTTGTTCTGATTTTTCTGCATTCCAGGTGTGTGGTTGGTGGTGACTGGTGGTACTACGGGGACAGATGTCAGCACAAAGGCTCCACCCAGGATAAAACCACTCTTGCACTTGCCTCCTCCCTGTCTGTACTGGGAGTAATGCTGGTGATTCTAGCAGTCAGCATCATCTGCGTGAAGAAGAAGTTCAAGAAACGAGCCACAGGTGGCGAATTAGTTATGTGGAATGTGCAGAATATTAAATTCTGAATAGAACTTACACTTTTTTGTGTGAAAAGAGGAAGATGTCAGAATTATAAACTGAATTCAACAATGTTAGGGTGCCACCTGCTGGCCAGTTTGTGTAAAAACAAAGAATTGAACCTTGTTAGATAAAATTGCTAAAAAAAAATAAATATTCTTTTTAAAAACACAAATGAGTCCCAGCCACTTCAATTAAAATTCACAAATTTTAAATTTATTATACCAAAGACAGGAACATCTGTTTCTTTTCTATGTGGATATATTTGTTTGTATTACTCAACTAGACACAGTCATGCCGGTGATAACAGCTACTGTAGGAGGGAGGTGTGAATGATAGCCTGCGAGCATACATGGCTGTGTGTGTGTGTGTGTGTGTGTGTGTGTGTGTGTGTGTGTGTGTGTGTGTGTGTGCATGCAAATATCTTGTAGTGTTAAATAGATACAGTGATGACTACAGAACGTCACAGTTGAACAAAGTGAAACAAACCATTGAAACCCAGTACAGAAATATTGTACGGAATGTTGGTTTCTATCCTGCAATTCCTCATTTAAATGCGTGTGTGTGTGTGTGTGTGTTTTGGTGGGCCTACACTGTAAGATAAAAGGTGGGGGGATGACGCCTCCATGACAGCAAATGATACATCCTCCCAACCACTAAAACTTTCACCGACATACAGGTTTGCAGTTCCTTTAAAATCATCAGTATACAACATTTCTCTTATTTACAATCATTGAAAAAGGAAAGAATCAACATTTCTCTCAGAGAAGATTAGTATAAGTGACTGAGTCACCATAAAAAGTATGCAACTCCTAGGAGTTAGTATTGAAAATTTCTACAAAAAATTTCTAGATCATTTTACGGGCAAGAGCCATGATTTACTGAAGAAACACAGTATTTGAAGTGCCCTATCTACATTGGTTAAGTGTGGTATTAATGGTGTAGGCTTCACCATCGCTCACTGATAATAAAAAGATAGTTCTCTTCTTCCAAAAGCCTCCTTTAGCAACTTTGCTGCTTTCACATTTAAAAGATATGATTTACAAAACAACAAAACCATGAATTCGTTACCCATGTTAGAAATTGTGGCAAGCTAATGCTATTGCAAATAGACTAGTGTTGATTAAATACTCAGCTGGTCGTCTACTGTAAAAATAAAGTTCCAGTCTTTGTGAAGGTCATGACCACTGACAGTAAAGATCTGTGTGGATTTGTTAATGTTGAGATTCATTAAAGGGCTTGTTTGCTTGTTTCACTTGGAGTGCATGGTTCTTCAAAGACTAGGCTGTTTGGAGCCTGTTGAGATGAAGCTGGGTGAAACTAGTTCATGTGCATTTTTCAGCCTCTTGAGGAAACCCACTTGTTTGTGTTTATAACTAGGATGGGTTGGTTTACAGGAGATGTTCAGAGAGGCGTGCCGTAGTAGTCGGTGGGTTGATCCGTCCCACTTGGCTTCTGCTGTTTCTGCTGATGTTGCTTCATGATCTCCTTCACCTCCTCTTCCAGCTCAGGAGGTATGATGAACTGGTCGTCTGGGTCGGGTTGGGCCGGCGCGGTGAAGTAACCTCCAGATTTCTTGGAGGGGGCATCGGCTGCCACCTCAATAAGGTTATGACTCTTTTCCTGACGCGCCACAGAACCATTTACCCTCTTCTTGCCTGCCAAATTCCCACCATCGCTGCCTCCTGCTCCAACACCTTGCCATGACTCATCTCTCTCAGACCCATTCTCAGCCTCCACCTGGTTGATTTTGCACCCTTCCTCTAAGGACTCTGGGGTGCATGGCGGCGGAGGTGGAGGAGGAAGAGAGACCAGGGTGCAGTCCTGATTGGAGGATGTAGGTCCAGATGTTTGGGGGGATGAGGATAAAGATAATTCTGCTCTGAGACAGTGGATGTCTGCCTCCACTTCTACACGACTCCCATTGGAGAAAACACCAGCGATGGGCTCCTCGTCCTCACTGTCCAGCCCATTGTCAGACAGGGCGCTGGAGAAAGTGGCGCTGGACAGCTGCCTCTGAAAGGAGCCTGCCAAGCAGGCAGGATGGAGGGTGCAGCAGCTGCGAGAAGATGGCAGCTCTGAGCCTGGGAGCAGATACTGACAGGGTTGGGTGGTGGTTTGGACTTGCTGGTGCTGTAAGGACAGTAAATTAGCCTGTTGGTGCAGGTGGTGGTGGTGTGTCTGCTCCTGCAGCAGCACCAAGGAGCTCTGTGGGGGCTCGTCCGACGAAGCAGTCGAGCCCACCTCGCTGCTCATTTCGCTGGTGCTGATCTCACTGCTGATCTCGCTGCAGGACAACGGCGGGACAACAAGGGAGCCGTCTGAAGGTCGATCCTTCATGGCGGAGGACGATGGAGGAAACTGACCCAAACCGGGGCTTGGGGGAGGCTGGGGAGGCTCAGAACAGCAGCAGGAGCAGCAGTCTTCACTCACGCTCAGCTGGACCACAACAGCGCTCAGGCTGTTGGTGCAGCCGTATCCCTGTGCCAACGTGCAAAGCTTTTTAGCAGCAGCCAGACCATCAGGGACACTCCGAACTGCCTCCACGGCTTCAGTGGGAGATACAGCATCCCACAGGCCACGGCTACCCAGAATGAAGAACTCATCCTGAGGGGTGAGAGTGACTGTCTGCACGTAGGGAGAAGGGATGACAGAGGGGAAAAGGAATGAGTAGCCCATAATCCGTGTTGAATCGGACACTCCATTCACCTTGTTGTCCTAAATGATAAAAAAAGAGTTTATAAATCAATACTCATTCAAAGTAAATCTAACATTATATGTACATCAAAACATTCTTGTGCCTTTTTAGAATCTGCACCTCAGTAACTATAGCCCTGTGTTGTCTGATCCTCTGGTATTCGTCCTCAAGCCCGATGTTGTGCAGCAGTGACAGAGTCAAGGGTTTTCCATCCCGACACAAGATGGCCTGGCACTTTCCCACGTTAGCAGCTGTGAGTGTGAAGCAGCCACCGGGGTCAGTGGGGTCATGGCGAATGTGACACAGAGCGGCTGAGCCCCCGAGTTTCTGTCCTGCTGTTCCAAGTTTCCTTTAAACAGGAAAAAATGAGAATAACATAAATGAAAAGTCAACTTAAAAGGGGCATTATGGAAGTTTGACAGCCAAAACATGTATAGAAATAATAAATGCCTTCTTCATACATTCTCCTGCAATGCCCTGGTCCTGTAGAATGAGCCCTGGCATTTTTACTGTGATTGCCTGTTTTTCTGTAAAATCACAGAAAAAGAGAGATGCTCGGGTCGAGCAGGCTGCTTCATGCGCGTTCACGCTCAGGCATAGCCCGTAGCTTTAGCAGCAGAGAGTGAGGTAGTGACTTTGTCGCTGTTCCTAACGCCTAGTGACGAACCTAGCTACATTTCTGAGGACCCTTAGCTACTTTTTTCTAGATATTTCCTGCAAATTAGCAACGGAATAGCCATTTTCGCTCCGAACCGTTCTTTGAACGTTGTTTCAGCTGTCATCAAGGATATAAATGTTACAGATACAGAAGATGTCACTGGTGCTTTAGCTCACCTAGTAAAACGTCGGACTCTCGTGCAGAAGGCCCGGGTTTGATTCTGGATGAGATCATCGTTTATTTCTTACATTAATGGTATATTTTTTACAGTAAAATGTCCACATTTTTATTTGAGACTCGCCGAACGGCATTGAATTCACAGATAAAAAAGATGTGGGTTCAACTTTCATTTTGGAACAATTTTTCAAGCAAGGGAAGGGAATGATCTGAGCATTCAGGAGGACTGACCCATCATAAACCTTTGTCGGCTGTGCTGAAGAGAAAGGTACAGAACCATATTATTTATTAATTAGCTGCGCGTTCTCCTGTCCTCTGTCCTCCGGGCCACACACACACACACACACACACACACACACACACACACACACACACACACACACACACACACACACACACACACACACGGGACTGTCTCAGCTGTTATTTTCGTTAAGGAGTGTGCACGTACAGCATGCACGCCTCGTGCACGAGCCTACTATTGAAGCTGCCGTTACGCTTTTGGCCTGAGGGGGCAATCGCGAGCATAAAAATTCAAAACTCAGTAAAGTCCCTTTAAAAAATTTTTTTCCAATCATTGGCCTGCACCTGGTAGATCTATCACATACCTTTGCATCACCAGAAAAGTGTTGGTCATGTATTCCTCTTCGCTTTTTGTCTTGTGTAGCTCTTCAGCCAGCACATCGTTCATCGTACACTGCAAAAGGTAGGGCACTTCCACATTCCTGTCTCCATCGAACACACCGTACAGAGCCTCCCGACTCCCACAGAAGCTGTTCACTGAGAGGGCTGCAACGCAGAGTCTGCAAAGAAAGGCATGCACCAGTCATGTGGCAGTAAAAACATCCTCAGGAGGTTTAGATTAGTGAGGCTTTGGTGGATGGATGTGACGGTGGTTGTTTTCTTTCACCGTTGACTGGTTTTAACTTACTTGTTCTTCACGCCCGAGGCCTCTGTGTAGCCATGACTCCACACAGCAGGCCCACCAGAGGCCTCGTTCGATGAGAAAGTTGGCGGTGGATCAATACGGAAGCAGCGAATGTTACTGGAAGACAGAATAAATGAAAGAGATCAAAACCACTGTCTTGTGTTAATGCATAAATGCCTACTCCAAAGAGAATCTTTCAACCTGTTAAAAATAAAACAACATTGCATACTTTAATTGCTCGAGGGTTTTGTGGTCCAGATTAAGTCGAGGATTTCCAGTCAGGTCCAGCTCTTGAAGTTTTGGAGGCAGATTCTCTGGTAGAGTGATCTCACTTAGCTCGTTACAGCTCAGATCCACACACTGTCAGCAGAAAACAAGATATCACAGCTGCACAAACCCGAACGATGAGGTGTTGCTGCTGAAGTCTGACCTTCATCTCCATCAGCTGCATGACCTCAGGGAAAACCTCAATGGCGTTGGAGTGAGCATTGAGCGTGTGCATTTTTCGACAATTCATAATGGTGGTGGGAATGGTCTTCAGCATGTTTCCACTCAGGTCCACCTCCTCCAGCTCCTCCAACTTGGCCATTTTACTGAAGGGTTTAAATAAAAATGATGAGCTGAACTGAGATTTTGTCAGATTACTGACATCCTGTAAATAAAACAGCCATTAAAATGCATTAAACATACAAAAAACAATAACAAATGTTTATTAACGAGCTGTTTACCTGGCTGGGAATGTCTGGAGATGATTGTATGCCATGTGCAAAACTCGCAGGTGTGTGTGTCCTGTAAGCATGGGCACACACTTATCTGTGAGCCAGTTGTTTGTCAGGTAGAGTTCCTGCAGGATGCTGTGGCTCTCCTCTGATAAACTGGATGGTGGCAGGTGCTCCAGCTTGTTGGCTGACGCATTTACGCATCGCAGGCTGAACCGACAGAAATAAAATTGAAACATTCGTAGCATGACACATCTATAAGCCCATCATTAAAACTATGTCCTTGCTATCAGTTATCCTGTCCTTTGTTAAAACAAAAACATAATTTCTCTTCATATGTATGCACTTTTCCTGTGGTGGATTTAAAAAACACACAGACAAACACAAATGCATAAATGATCTCTTCCAGCTGGTGATTTCTGCTACCTGTCAGATTTGAGGAACAGGTTGCAGGGAAGTTCTACCAGTTGATTATGCTGTATATCTAAAACCTCCAGCAGAGGGTGCTCCACTCTCTCAGGCAGCTTCTGCAACTGGTTGTGTCCTGCACTGATCTTCCTCAGACTGTTGCTGCAGAACAACCTGCAGCACAAGAATGATACAGACAGCTGGGTCAGCAAGGTAAAGAGCAACACGAACAGATGGAGAACGTTTTCAGATATCTATGGAATAGATAGTTGCTGAAGGATAAAAATGGGGAAAGGGATGGACGATGATGGGGTTTTAGATGTGGAGTGATGAAAATCAAAGACTAGCAGCACCTCTAGTAGAGTCTGTAAGGAAAATTTATCATCTTGACACTTATTGGGTAAAAAAAAATCTCATAGCAATAAGGTATCCAAAATCAGAGGGAGAAAAGCCAAGAGAGCAAGGTTGAGTCAATGCAGAGCACAGGAAAAAATGAGAACAGGTGCATCTGAGGTGACTTATCTAAAATGTTCTGTAAAGAGAAGGAGAATGGGTGACGGATCTGGAGGTTACAGGCTATCCGAGTGATTTACGAGGGGATAGGTAGGATGGCTGACAAAGGGCAGGGAGAATAATGCAGCATTGTTCTGCATTTACATGCACATTTGCTGTGAGGGAGACTCACCTCGCCGGGAGCTCGGTGATGAGGTTGTGGCTCGCGTCCAGCACTTCCAGTTTCTTAGCTTCACACAGCCAGTCTGGCAGCAACTCCATAAAGTTCCTGTAGAGGGGGCAATGATGATGATGATGATAAATTATGTGCATTTTGCAAACTGACAAAGCTAGAATTGAATATGATGAACTGAAATCAAAAGTCTTTTGTATATTATATAAGAATTCATAATGAAAGTAAACAAGATAAAAAAGATTACAATGATTTCTACTTTATATTCCTTTAAAGATGACTGATTTTGGACTCTTAATGGCACTTGGGTTAAGTGTAAAAAACGAATAACTCAGTTGACATCTCTGATTTTAATATTAAAGGGATATTTTGCAACTTTTTCACATTTATAAATAATTTTCTTGAGCCAGTATGAGCTAAAACAGCAGGGGTATTGAATTCCAGCATGTTTTAGTTTTAACTGTTTCAACACACCTGATTTCAATCAGCAGGTAATTAACAGGCCTCTGCAGAGCCTGATGAGCGGCTGCACAGGTGATTCAACCACTGAATCAGGTGTGTTGGAGCAGAGGAACAACTAAAATATGCAGGATACCGGCCCTCCAGGAATCGAATACCCCTGCTTCACGGGGTTAATGAAATGTCACTTAGACCCCCACTGCCATTCGTGGCCATAATATCGCACTTGCAACTTCAGAGTGCTGTTAAACTTGAGCTGGCGCTGCAGTCTGAGGCCCTGTCCACACGTAGCCAGGGATCTGCCAAAACGTAGATATTTTTCTACGTTTTGGCCTGTCATCCACACGAAAACGGAGTTTTTTCACACGAAAACGGATCTTTTTAAAAACTCCGGCCAAAGTGAAGATCTGCGTTTTCTCCGTTTTGGGTGTCTGCGTGTGGACAGACAAAACCGGAGTTTTAAGGTCCGCAGCGTCACTTTCCGCGACAAAAAATGCTGACATCACGTGTGCGACCTGTGTTTACACTAGCCGGCATCATGGAAGCCCTCAGAGCTGCGTTCTGTCACTACCCGATCCATCAATTGTCCAAGCGCTTTTTGCTTGTTTGTTTTTGCAAGCGGAATTACTGCTCCTTGCTGAAGACCACAGACGAAGGACGAGGTTAAGAACGGGGGAAGTACTGCCGCCTACAGGTCTGGCATGTCCTTAACAACGTATTTATCCGGGTACGTGTGGACAGAGTTTGTTTTTAAAACACGGTAGTGTGGATGCAAGTTTTTGGAGGGGCGGATATTCGTTTTTTTAAAAACCCCGGCTACGTGTGGACTAGGCCTGATACCAGCACGTCTCCTACATGTTTTAGAACAGGAACACAGCTGATTTAAAAACCCCACTAGTTGTCACACACACTGATGTGTGTAAAATATGTTTTCCGGATTTGACCCATCTACTGAGGGAGCGGAGAGCTGCAGACACAGCTGTGCTCGGGAACATTTGGTGGTTTAATCCCCCAATCCAACCTCTTAATGCAGACTGTCAAGCAGGGATGCATTGGGTCCCATGGGTATTCCGTATGACCCGACCAGGATTTTAACCCCGTTCTCCCAGTCCCAGGGCGGACATCCATACCAGTTGGCCGCTAAGCTGGTAATTTATTTAATTTAGTGATGAATCACTCCTGTAGACACTAATGAAGGCTGGGGAGACATTACAACTGTTATGTTAGAATAAGGTGTTAAAAAGCACAGCGAGGAGATAAGTTTCACTTTTGGATCAGCTAAACGGACACTAGGGGGTGGTACAAGCACACTAAAACAGCCTAGTGTGCCTTTAATAATTTTGAGGCCAGACACTTTTAACCAAAAGGGTGACACGGTTCAATAAAGTGTGTTTTCTTTTCACCACCTTCATCAAAATCTTCCTTTGAATTCAACTTTTCTAAGCATTGGAATAATTTCAAAGCATCACAGACAGTGATGAAAAAACCACTTTCTTCCTGTTAAAAAGTGAAACAATTTTCCCTGTAAACATTTTTACAGTTCTTAGGTTGGTGCTGTGCTCCATTTATATAACACACAAATACATAGGGGATTGCTCTCACCTCGAGATATCCATGTAACTAAGATTAGAGGGCACAGGGCTGATATCCAGCTGTCGTAACTCTGTGGGGAGAAATCCAAACAAATTAACCTACAGCAAGGACAGCCTAATACAAAGACTAAGTAGATGGAAAATAGAAGAGAGCATTTAAGAACGGATGCGGGCGATGACAAGCTAGAGAGGGATGATTGAGAGAGACAATTAGACAGCAGAGTCGAAGAGAAAAATGGATGTGAGAATAAGACGAGCGTGGCATTTGTGAGGACACGTCCACTGTGTCTCAGGGTTATTGGAGGGAAATCTAATCACGGCCAAGAAACAAGTTGTGCTTATTTTTAAACGATGCAGATGCAATGACACCCTGCGTGAAACACCCACCATTGCAGGAGGCGTAGATGCCTTTAAGCAAGCTGCCTTTGACTTTCAGAGTGGTGATGTGGTTCCTCTCGCAATGTAGAACCTCTAGCCTGGGAAAGACGGAGGCGTCTAGCTCCGTCAGCTGGTTGTCTCTCACATCCAGCTGCGTGACATGCCTCAGCAGGTCAGGCTCATCTGGCACCATGACAGAGATCTTATTCAACCTAACACAGGAGGCAGAGAGGTGGGGGAAGAGGGTTAACCTCCAAATGGACTGGTCAAACATTTCAAACTGGTTTGAATATCTGACCAATCTTCACTTTATTGATGACTTATTAAAATTCTGACAATATTAAATACGGTTTTAGATTGACAAATAGTGACCAAAAGGCATCATGAAGTTTCTTTTCTATTTGTTGGCACTTTTTGATTAGAAAAAATAAATAAACTGCATCATTCCTAAGCAGTTGGGGAAACTATTGGAACCAACTTTCAAACTTTTCAAAGCTAAAAGGTAGGAAAGGCTGAAGGATTAACTGTGAAATAGTGCAAGTCATTCCAGATTGGTGTTTTCCCAGACAGCGGGTAGGCTCCAGAAGGGGCTGCTGCAGGCAAATGATTCCTGATTTCTGTGCTGTTTAACCGCATAGTTGTGTGACTCCTTACCACTGTTTTTGTTTCCAGAATTAGTGAGAAAGTGTGTCAATGAATGCAGTGATGGATAGAAGCATGCCTGGAGGTTTAAGTGCAGTTTGTCCCAGAGACAGAGCTGCTGGTGACTTTTTGATTTTTGACCACTCGTGAGGATATTCCTGCAGTGTCATACCTTAGATCGATGTGTTTCACACGAAGCAGCCTGAAATTCTGCAGGGTGAGTGTTTCCAGGCGGTTTCCAGCCATGCACAGCTTCTCCATGGAGTCCAGTTGCTCAAGCACTTGGGGCACGTGGTTGAACTGGTTGAAAGAAAGGCCCAAGTAACTCAGTCGCTGCAGGGAACCCAGCTCAGAAGGCAGGTCGCTTAAACTGTTTCCGTCCAACAGGAACGTCTGCAAACTACAAAAAATATAAATAAATAAAAATAAAATAAAAAAGGATTCTTCAATATTCTGCTCCCAAAAAATTTCATGCACGTGCAAACCAGATTAACACTTTTTGCAGCTGTTAGTCAGTATACAGAATGCCCAGCAGATGGAAGTAGCAGAGCTGGAGGTCATCCTGGTCACTTCAGGAATTTACTTGCATACCAGATCAGTGCTGCAGATTATCTTCTCATCTTGACCAGTCTCACCTCTACAGACCAGTGTGCTTAGTTTCAAATGAGATGTGAGCATGAAAGGTGAGCATGACACAAACTATCAGCACTGAACTAGTTACTAAAAACCTCAAACAATTCCTAATGTCACAATAAAATAAACAAAAGTGACCAAGTAACACCTACTTTCATTTGTAAAGACTTTTTTAGTTAATTTTGAGGATGAAACAAGAGTTTAGAAGCCATCACTGGGAAACATAAGCTAACAGTGTTCTGGTGCATTTTATGCAACTTTAGTTTAAATGTGTGTTTGTGAATAATAACAGTGGTGCTGTTTTCTTGACAAGGATGCTCCAGGTGTTTTTTTAGTGACACATGTGTTTACATTAAGTAAAGCTACAGTTAGCTAAACTCTCACATGTGGTTATGTAAAACATCTGTCACTACAATTTGGTGAGTTGTTGAGAAGGTTTAGTGGTTTCTCTGAAGCAGGAAAAAGCAAACTCTGGCTCTTGCCAGCAGGAATTTGTGGAAGAGTTGGATAACTAGGTAATAACAGAAAGTGAAAGTTAAACACATGCCCAAAATAAATAAATAAATAAATAAATAAATAAATAAATAAATAAATAAAACGTGAAGCAAGCCCTAAAACCAATCTATAAAATCTCCACTTTCTGTTTTTCGCATCAGATCTCTGTTATTTACTTGGTCATGGCGCCCACAGAACAGGGGACAGAAGCCAGGTAGTTACAGCTAAGGTTGACCTCCGACAGGGTGGAGATGTCGCAGATAGCCAGTGGGAACTGGCCAAGATGGTTGTTGGACAGGTTGAGGCTGCGAAGACGAGAAAACCTGGAGAGAAGGAAAATATGAGGAAGTGATTAATGAGCACATCTTGTAAACATAAACAACTGCATGAAAGTGTAAAATACTCACTAAGATATTCATGGGTTGTGAAGCTAATTGTCAACTGCATTTATTTAGTTTGGTGAAAAAGCCAGTGAAGATTTGGTTGTTGAGAAAACTAAAAGTGCACGTGAGTCTGTTGTTCATTAAAACACCAGGGAACAGTGGTGTTGGGTGCCTTCTGAGGGCATCCTACCAACCTCTCCAAGAGCTGGACGTTCAAGGAGGAAGGAGACAAGGAAGCAAAGTGAGCCGTGCAAATGACTATTTTCTTATTTATCCATATACGCAAGCAACCTGTTATCATCTGACACTTGGAAGGCAGCATGTTGCAGCTTCATGCAGATGCATCCTATGACGTACATACGCACGCACTCACACACGCACGCACGCACGCACACACACACACACACACACACACACACACACTGTATATCATGATGATGGAGACAACTAAGATGTCAAAGATATTGATTAGTGTGGATGAGTAATTCCAACTAATGGAGACTTCTGTCTGCAGCAGGGAAATATCATTTCATTAAATGAACCTCTTTACATTATTAAGCTATGCTCAACCTCTTCTGTCCAACTCCAGATGGTATTCTCTTCTTTTTACTCCCATCTGTGTGCGTTTTACTATCTCAATTTTATAAATCCCATAGACTAACTAGTCATGATCTAAAAGAATTTTTTTGAGTTATATTTATATATATATATATATATATATATATATATATATATATATATATATATATATATATATATATATATATATATATATATACATACATACATACATACATACATATATACATATATACAGTTACTGCAGCGGTATTCTGAGCGGTTCTGGTTTGGTTTGTCTATCCGTGCGCTGTCAGATTCATCTGAAAATTTCCCTGTGAGAACAGAATGAGGATACTGGCTTTCCCTTTCATCAATACGTTTGCTGCATAGAAGAAATGCAGAACCTACATTAGTGAATACAGGCTGCCAGTGTGTGTGTGTGTGTGTGTGTGTGTGTGTGTGTGTGTGTGTGTGTGTGTGTGCATTTGCTTGCATGTGTATGTGTGTGTGTATGTTTGTGTGTGAGACCTGCTGTGTTAGTTTATTTTTTTCTTCATATTTATTTACATAAAAACTTGCGGGGGAATTAGCCTGCCGGCCCGATAATATAGGCGTGTATACAGGGAAACCCTGAATCTGGTGTTAGCACTCTTGAGTGTATACCACACTTACTACACTTATTACGGTAGTTTGTCTCAGGCATCAGAGCCCGTATGCTTGTTTGCTATGGAGCTAGGATGGGGACAATATTCAATGTAACTTGTACCAAGTTTTGTAACTTGGAACATGTTTCATGACATGTAACTTTGGATTTGTAAGTTGTAACTTTAGTTTTCTAACTTGTAATTCTCAATTTGTACTTGTATTTCTTGTTTTGGCATTTAGACTCAGGGTAAAAACAAGGTTCAGAGTGTGCCCCCTGGTGTGTGGGGGGCCAGAAACATGCTGGGTAAAGCCGAAGGAGTCCATAAGGCTGGAGAAATTCATGGCAAAGTGATCAGAGGGATCATCAACGTGGATGTTAAAGTCACCAACAATCACCAGTCTGGACAGCTTCACAGTGGAGGATAGAAAGTTACTAAACTCCTGAAGGAAAGAACTGTTTGGACCAGGTAGACGATAGACCACAGCACAGTAGAACGGTCCTTACGCCCAACTTTAATCAGCTGCAGTTCAAAGGAAGCAAAGTGACCAGAGGTTGTAGAGCTACATGGAGGATGGTCTCTGAAAACAACAGCTAGGCCTCCACCACGACCAGAACCCCGGGGCTGGCTAAGAAAAGAATAACCACTCGGGCAGAGTTCAATCAGACCAGAATAATCAGATGTTTGCTGCCAAACTTCAGTCAAAAACAGAAAATCCAGCCTCTGACTGAACACTTCCGTTGTCGGACAGTCTTGTGAAGAGAATGCTCAGGGTTGTCCATAATTTTCTTGATTCTCTGGAGAATCCTTCTTTGCATTATCTCCTCCAGTGGTTCCACAGTCGTCCCCAGAACAGAACCAGCCTTTTTTATTAGGCTGTTGAGCCTTTTCAGGTCCCTGCTTCTGATGCTGCTACCCCAACAGACGATGGCTGAAGAGATTACACTCTCAACAACAGACTTGTAGAAGATCTGCAGCATCTTGCTACAGACATTGAAGGACCTAAGCGCCCTCAAGAAGTGCAGTCTGCTGTGCCCCTTCTTGTAAACGGCTTTGCTGTTCTTTCTCCAGTCCAGTCTGTTGTCCAGGTGAACTCCAAGGTATTTGTGTTCCTCAACCACCTCCACTTCTTCTCCCATGATGGAAACAGTGTTTGACTCCACCCTGTTTCTTCTGAAGTCTAAAATCCTCTCCTTTGTTTTGTTCACGTTCAAGGTCAGATGATTGTTTCCACACCATGCCACAAAGCGCTCCACCAGCTCTCTGTACTCAGCTTCCTGTCCATCTCTGATACACCCGACAACTGCAGAGTCATCTGAGTATTTCTGTAGATGACAGGTCTCTGATTTGTACTGGAAGTCTGAGGTGTACAGGGTGAAAAGGAATGGTGAGGGTACAGTCCCCTGTGGTGCTCCAATGTTACTGATCGCCTGGTTTGATGTGCAGTTCTTCAGCCTCACAAACTGTGGTCTGTTTGTCAGGTAGTCTTTAATCCAGGTGAATAAATAATGATTATTTAGCTGATCTTTAGTTTCTTTGAGGGTGTGAAGTGTTGAGCTCAGGTTTCGTGCACAAAGTCATTACAAAAGCAAAAAGAGTGATCGAACTCACAGAGCGACCTAACAGCAACAGGGTCTGATGTGTGTCACATTTAAAAGACGCAAGAAACTAAAACATACAGATGCTCCAGATGTTCCCAAAAGATGGTCCCACCCCTCCGGTGATCAGGCAGAAATTATTTCAGACTAAAACGGAAAAAGACAGCCCGCTGGGGCTTTGCCAGAAAGCACCTGTTGACATTCATTAACCTCATATTCTGCTGTGCTTTTTTTTCTTCCTTTCAACAAAACAAATGAACAGCAACAAAAGAGGAAAGGACAAAGCTTGTAAGGAGCTGCTAGCTGTGATCCGGATGGTTTTCTAAGAAGTTTTTAACGGGAACCGAGACCAAAATAAGTGACTATTGTTAGCCAGACAGAAAAAACCTAAAATACCCCAAACAAATGATATTTATGGATCTAAATGAATTTTGAATTAATTATTTTTGGTGTAAATGTTATACATAACTACCATTTTTGATTATTATTGTAATTTAATTTGTGTCTTTGCATTGCAACTATTGTCTTTTTAGGCTGCTGTCCATCATGGTCAAAACAGTTTTGTAAAAAAAAATATTTTAAACCTTAAGAGTCCTTTTCATGGCTAATTGGAGGTCAGCATAAATGCAGATTGAGATTCAATGCTGTGCTAATTCTGCTGAAACCAGATCCCTCTATAAATAGTAATCATTTCAAATTCCAGCCAAAAACTTTATCATCACCAGCTTCATTTATAGCTGTTGTGAGCAGCTGCTGTTTTGGACAAATCTCTGATAAATCCATAGTGCAATGCAGTTTGCCAACAGAAAAAGAGAAAAAAACTTTCTTTTACTTTATTTATTTATTTATTGCACTCAACCCCAACCAATCCAATGTATCCAGATTTCTGTCTTAGCTCCTTCATTTTTCAGTATTCGTGCCCTTCATAACACACTAATCTGTCATTTATATGTAAACAAAACAGGTCAAAGGTCCTACTGTACACATACACCAGTTATTCCTGTCAGGGAGAATTGACCTCTGCTTTAAGGGCAATACATGCCAGGAAGGCTGCTTTGTGCCAGAGGAACGAGTTAGTATCCCAGAGCAATGATTATTTGTATCTGATTGGCACTGGAATATCATATGTGAGTGTGTGAGTGAGTGAGTGAGTGAGTGAGTGAGTGTGAGAGAGAGAGAGAGAGAGAGAGAGAGAGAGAGAGAGAGAGAGAGAGAGAGAGAGAGAGAGAGAGAGAGAGAGAGAGAGACGGGGGTGGGGATGGATAGATGGACACGTGGTACAAGTACATAAGTTGCATATGTCTGGAAAAATGCTAAGCACTGTGACCCAATGTTAGATGATAGTGGGATCCAGTGGTGAGTCTAAAACAGGCATAGCAACAAGCATACGACGCACAAAGTGGTATTGTTCTCGACTTCAGCTCTTTTGACACAACCTTTCTAGGGGAACACCAGTTCTCATGCAACTCTGCTGTGTGTCTCTGTCAAAATCTCTATTTTCAGCCAAGCTATTCATCTCTTTCTGATTACTGACCTCATTTTCCGTCATGCTGGGTCAAATGCGGATGAGCCTATTTAGGTTTGGCAATGCTAAATAGATGCTATCCCCCTTGACCAGCAGGAGAGTTGTGTATCCCTGACTAGGAGTTACAAACTAGTTGTTTCCTATCTTTTAACACCAGTCATCATTTTGGAAAGTAAAAAATGAGTCAAAATAAAATGCCTGTGGCAGAAATTCATAAAATCCTGACCCTTTTCATCATCAGCGAGACACAGAAGCATGCAAGGCTATGCTTCATGCGTATCAGATGGAGATTCCTCCAGAGCAGCCATATTAAAACGAAAAGATGAAGAAAAGAACTACAAATGTCATGCTGTATCAAGACTTTGTATGCACTGACCCTAATCTGTAGCCTGCAGCATGAATTTTTTGATACATACAAGCAAGCAACTCTTCCTCTAACACACACTTCATGCTGCTAAATCAGGCAACAGATTCAAACAGTTTGCTTAGTAAATGTCAGACTTCTTCAACAAATGATCTTCACAGAGAGACGCTGTGACAGGTGTGTGAGTGACACACATGCACACACGCATGCACACACACAAGTGATGCACAGAATCTTGCCTGTGGCGTTTAATCTGGGACTGTGATAAGCATGCAGCAGATGGTGACCACAGAGAGTCGGAGTAAGAGAGGCCAGGCACATTAAAAGCTTCCCTGGAGACAAATCTATCCTCCTGGGCTCTTTTGGCCTAGCCTGGTAGAGCCCTGGCTAGCTATTGGCTCCTGTTTGCGGATGTCCCAAGCCCAAGACTGCTCCAGTCGATAGCTTGAAATCAACCAATGACAATTGACAATCATGACCCATATTGCATTTCTTTTCCTACCTTTAATTTCGTCTAGCGTCATCACGATCTTGCAATTGTGTAATACACTAAAAAACTACAAAACACAATAAAAATAAACCTTAAAAGTTTTTTTAAACTTTAAGGTAGAGCTTTAACATTGATCTCAGTAAATGTTGGGTTAGAAACTTGACCAGTATCCTATTTGAGACAACTAAGTAGGCCTCTACTGGCCAGATACTGTACTCAACAGGTTTGTGGAGAGGGTAGGTACTCTATGGTGGAGCGCTTTACCTAATTTACAACATTAGCTGCTATGCTAGCAGTTAGCTTTTTCTGTTCTGTTCTGTCTTTTATTTGTGCCTGATGCATTTTGCTGCTGCGGAGCGCATCACCTGTTTCGTACTCCGGTGACTTGACCGCACCGGTGCGGTCGGCGCGCACTCCGCTATATTTGTGGTCGTTAGATCTTTTTGAACTGCTGTTCAAAGGTAACTCGTACGGTGAAAAATATGAAGCCAGGTAGCAGTTTTTCTTTAGGAATGAGAGGAGATGCAGCAAGATAATAAACAGAGACAGGACAGAAAAATAGTCAAATCAAAACAGGTTTGTTTTTGTACCTGGTGGTTGCAACAAACAGACACCACTGAAGGTAATCAGAAAATGAAATTATTCTTTCAATGTTTAGATCAGCAGGAACTCTGAGAGGCTGCAGGCGCATCGGTGAGTTTGCGGCCGCTGCACAGGGGGAGGAGGAGAGGGCTGAAGCAGGAACAGTAAAGATGCAGAAACTACTGTTGTTAAAAGAGATGTTTTAACTTAGAAAATGTGAGCGCAATTTTAATTACTAGTGCTTCTTAACAAAAAGCCTAAAGTGATATCTTTGTGTAGTTTGGAGGCCAAAAGCAAGCAAGAGATTAAGCGCAAAAGCTAAAACATGAATATAAAGAAAAAAGTGAATTTAGTATTACAGGACTATTCACATAAAAAAAATCCAACACATGGACAAGTTCTTCTTCTTAAATTGGCCTTTTGAAGTTTAGTCTTGGGTGCATTTCATATGGTTGAATCATACCTTTGTAGCTGCTGGAGGCCCTGGTCTGCAGGCAGGAAGTTGTGTTTAAGGTTGAGGTGAGTGAGGTCGTGGCTGTAGAAGAGGTTGGGTGGAAGATGCTCCAGACTGCAACAGGACAGATCCACTGAGTGGATCCTCTGGGACACCATCTAGTAGTAAAATGTAAACTGAATTACCTCAACCACACAATCGTTTTAAGGTTTTATTGTGCAACAAGTTGAGAGAAAGAAAACTGCATTTGAACATTGTGTAATCCATGTAAACTCAGGCTGTGATAATTTGTGAATTGCATGTTTTAAAGGAGGAAATGTGTGAACTTGAGCCTTTCTGAGCGAAGTTAGCCCGAGGCTCAGCAGTCATCGTTGCAGCAAGTGCTGCTTCTACCCAGGCTTCTATTCTGAGTGGCCCTCTGGGTGATGGTGACAGGCGTGTCCCGGTTAATATTTAGAAAAGAGGTTTTTCTGGCAATGTCCTACTTGAGCTCAAATGAGAGACGTGAGTGGTGTTTATGTTTGTGGGAGCATCAGGACACACTCAATTTATACAGCAATAAAAGAACAGTTTTAGCATCAAACTGAGACAAATTGCCTTTTGACCACTTTTAAGGATTGCTGATAGGGATCTAATCCTTTAAGTGGCAGTTTGGGACAAAAAAGAATATGAATAAAATAATTTGTTTGATTTTTTTCCTTCATTCAGGCCAAATCAGACCAATATAATATATCCTAGCTGGTTGGAGGTGCATGTTGATTCAACTTAGTGCCCAATTTTGACATTGTTTAATACCTCTTTCATATGTTGGACTGCTGCCCTTGCCAGCAAATTTGGGACATGTAGCTATTTGTTTAAAAGTAGTTCCTCTTCTATTAACACATTTTACCGATCAGGCTGCTGAATAAAACCCCTGATTATAACATGATTTTGTGGATGTTGTGATCACAAACAAACACATAACATTTGCTTGGTCAGTGTTAAATCCAAGCTCGCCTCGAACATTGCTGTGATTTTGGTGTTTTTAAATTTAGTCATTTGTTTCTTTTGAACTGAAGATCAGACCACAGGTAAAAGTGGATGAAGCAAGAATGACACCCTCTGGTCAAATTTGGGTACTGCAGCCCGTGTATCATAACAAATGAGTCCAGTCTCAGAAACTCTTCCTTTCCATTTGTGAGTTTTATGGTGGTTATTATGGATCAGGGCCAGAAGATTCTGCATAACGAGTGAAGACGCGTTATACACATTAAGTAGACGAGTAGATAAATACATTTAACTGACATATTAAGTTGTTGTTGAAAAATAGTAGCAAGAGATAATTTTAGAGCTGACTATATTTTTCTATTTCACTGTTAGCATTGTTAGCTCTTTAGCCTCTAGCTACTTGTTTTTTTTTTTTTTTTTACCTTTGTTTGCTTTAAGTTTGCCGCTCCTGTTACTGGCTTTTCATTTTGTCCACATTGGTGCTGCTCTTTGCCAGCCAATGTCAAATCACAAACGCTGGCACAGGCTTGGCAACCTTGCAGGCTAAAGTATGATTGGCTTTGGGGACAGGACAGATTTTAAACAATAACTACATCATATATGCTGCCTTTTGAAACTGGCGTAGAAGCGGGCCGCCATCTTGGATTTTTCCCCAGTGTGTTTCTACTGAGGAAGGTGTTAACCCAAAATAAATAAATAAATACACATTTTATTATATCTTTTAACTAAATCAGACATGTAAAAAGGCACGATACTTAAAATATAAATATAATAAAATAAAATTCATTCAAATATAAAATCCCAACATCTAGGCTAGAAAAGTCATTTGTAATTCTACGTGATCTGTTTTCAATAGTACGCTGGTTGTTGCAACCGCAGGCTGCACAAAAACAGACATTTGTCTCAACCTGCGATGACCCCAGTTGGGTTTGAAGAGTGATGAACCCACTCAATAAGGAGGCGATGATGTTACGCTCTCCAGCACCCAATGGGGCGTCTACAGATTCATGACTGTGTGATAACCTCCAGCCAGCTGAGAAGGAAATTTGTTTGAACGTAATCTTCCTTCAAACATGTTTGAGACGTTAGACTGTTTTGTGATCATTTAACTGTAAAACTATTACTTATTGTAGCTTTAATGATTAAAAAAAGCACATAAATTCTGTAGGTGTGCTCTCGCTTCTTCAGGTTAAACCTATGTGTAGTATAGTATATACATATACGGTCATAAAGCAGACATATTTTAATGTGTGTGAAATAACTGAGAAGCAAATGCAAATTTTAAAGAAAAATAATCAAAAACATCTTTAGTTTTGTCCACAAATGACAACATTTATGGGTGATTTCAACATTTTCTGTGACCTTTGCACCAAACAAGGCTGATTTTTATCTGAAGAATTTGAACTGAGTGTGACTCAAAACGATGACCTTAAAAGGAGTTATTTTTTGAGTGAACTGCTGCTGCAACTTCAGAGATTTTCAAGGACAAATTTATTACACCGCGATTAAAAATGTTGTGTTAAAAGTGACATTTTTCACACAATTTCACATTTACTTTGCATCAGCTTGCAGCTATTTTAAAAACTTGATTCATTCTATTTTAATCTATGTGAACTGAACTCTGATCAAGTTCTTCGAAAGGCTTTCCTTTCACTCTCACTCTCTCACACACACACATACATGATACCTTGGCAGCATGTCTGTGCCAGCGCAGGTGCTCGGTGAAGCTGTCAAAGCTGACGTAGTAGGTTTGACTTTGGGGCCCCGCTGAGCTGAAGGCCAAACAGTGATTGTGCTTCTTCACCTCCTCCACCTGCAGCAAGGCAAAGGCAAGAGTGATGTCGAAGTTTGAGACCCTGACATCTCGGTCCACATGCAGAATATAAATGAAAACTCCATACCTTGAGAATAAAAAAATAAGCACATGTAAGAAAAGCAGTGAGGAAAAAGCTGACTTTAACTGCCAGCAGGAGGGACAGAAGTCAATCACCAGTACAGTTATGAAGACATGATTACATGATAAACACGTGTGTGACACGACCAGCAGGAAGAAATTCTAAGTCACACACCGGCATCCATGCCCTCTGTGAATGAATAACTGATCAGTTAGGGAGCTAAAAAAGGACATCAGCACACATTTACACACACACACACACACACGCACGCACGCACGCTCACACACACATTCACTCTATAAAAAACACATGCAGAGTCACGTGTGTGTGAAATGTTTAGAAACTGGGTGTGGTAGAGCACGGAGTGTCCTTTGTGTCAGCCATACGAGTAGATAACTCTTTTCCCACAAACACTTTGGAGCTTCCTTTGCTCACAGAGCAGTAAACAGATAAAGGTCAAAACAATAAGATGCAGGCATTAGGATGGTTAGGTTTTATAGAGATCAATTACACGGAACATTAAAGGGTGTCATGACTTTGGATTAGAAAGGGGAAAAAAAACATCCCAGACAACACATTCTGAATTTCTAAGACCTGGCTTGAGCTAAGGCAAACAAAACATTCAACATCAAACACAAAAGGACAAAGAGTTACTTAAGATGACATGCTTTCAGATCTTTCTACGGGAATCAAATGCTGACTCATCAGGTCATTATACTGGTAAAATGATCCAGAGTATAAGATCATTTCTAGGGAAAACAAAGTTGTGTTGGTGCTTATCATGCGTCAGCATATTTTACATACTTTTCCTCCAATCAGAGGCAAGATGTGCATCTTCCCGATCTGGCTCTCCTTGACAGAGGAGACGATGAGGCAGGTGCCGCAGAGGATGACCTGCCGTCTGGTCCAGCGGTTAACTGGCAGCTGGAGCTTCCCTTTCCGAACATTGTAAGTCCCAGACAGCTGCACCCTTTCTGAGCTCTCGATAGTTTGGGGTTTACCTGGAACAGAAAAACATGGGTTGTTTTATCGTAAACATTTGCAAACACAGATGCAAGATAGAGGTTCTGCAGAACTGGAAGATCATAGTTGTTGTTTATTGAGCAGAACTGACCAATTGCAAAAACTCAGTTTTGCTAGCTGGATTCAAGCCATCAGTAAGGTGACTGAAACAGAATGACTAAACCAATCTGAAGATCTGTCTGCACTCGATAACAAGATGTGGAACACAAAGTCTTGGCTTAGATATCTGTTATATGTTTCTAAACAATTGGTGACTTACTTATCTCAATGTAGATGTCTAGATTTTGCACAAAATTACTTCAACATGTTTCAGTTAAAACATTTAAAAAGATTTTCCACCCCTAATTTAATTGTAGTCTGTTGTCATATTCCTCTGAATTAGATAAGTGGGGGAGAAGCATTTTGTAACCAGTCAAGCCATTCTCCTATTCTGGCAGTATTCTCTTAGCTTTAGCTTAGCATAAAACAATGTAAGTGAATGGTAACAGCTAGCATCTAGTTGGAAAAAGTCATGAAAATTACTCGATAATGATCCTAATTTTTCTTGGTGACCTCAAAAATCGTATCGACTGCAAATGAAGCTGTAAGCCACCGCTGCGATGCACAAGGAACTCATCTACTTTTGTAAACACAAATCCATGGGTTGCACTGATTTTTTACTACCATTGTTTGGGTATGTTACACAATAATGCTATGAAATGGTTCTTTCTTGCATAGAAAAGGGTAGCGAAAACATATAGGAACATGGTGTTTCATGAAATTCCAAAAAGAAGACAACACCTTGCTGCCCTGGGAATGCCTCCAACAACACCCGTGGTGAAAATAAATCAATAACTGGTTTGTGAGCAGCATGTCACACCAGAGGACTATAATGTAAAAAATAGGATTACTGTTGAGTCATTTTTGTGGCTTTTTCACACAAAATGCTAGCTGTTACCATTCACTTACATTGTTTATGCTAAGCTAAAGCTAACAGAATACTGCCAAATTAGGAGAATGACTTTTCTCCCACTTATCTAACTCTTGGGGAATATTGCAACACGTCCCTTTAACAACAGAATTATGAAAGTTCCCCAAAAAGGAAGAGAGCGGCACTTTAAAGTCAAGTCCCAACTGTAAGACCATCAAAAGAGGAGAAAAGCATAAAGATTATTTGCATTCAGCAAAAATGACTCTGATGTCCTACTTTTGCGAATTGAATAGAATTATCCAGATTTTCATTCAGTTCAGGACAGCCTGCATCACTGGAATCTCATCTTCAATTACAGGTGCCTTCAAATTTGTGCTCTTACGATTTATGAGTTTTCCTTTTTACAGTTTTACCCATCTGTCCGTCTGAATTTTGCCTGGTTCACTCACTTCACTACCACCCCGCCAAACCTGACAGTCAAGTTGCTTATCAGGCATTCTGTCAGCCAGGCTGTGTTATCATCCTGTCTAAATATCCAACTGCTTTCTGTCTACCTCCACCTCCGCAAAAAACTTCCCCGGGCTGGCATGCACTGTCCTCCTCCCCTCTTCACTATCTTCTTCACCCCTTTATCAGTCCGCCTGCTTGCCTTTCAGTTTCTCTATGCTATCTATAGGACTTAAGCCTGCAGCATGTTTAACCTCATTGTTTTCTCATTCATGGCATGCTTTAGACGTATTGCTGTGCAAGCGACAGGCGGTTAGGAAATAATTTTCCTTTTGCGATTTTGCAGTAAATGGATCCATCTCTCTCTTGCATCATCTCCGTCATACATCATTTCACTAAAGTATACAGGGGTATGTGAGGGTTAGTGGGGAAGGGAGAGAAAGTGTGAACTTGCATAGGTTTAAATAATTCAGGGCTTTCACATGACTAATGTAAGATTAATGCTGCACAGTATTGTGGCACAAACCAGACCAAATAAGGTTTATAGACATTCTGGTCAGACATAGCCCCAACAAGTCCTTCTACATTTTAACAGAATGACTTTCAGCTCTTTGGAGGAATTCTTCATACGACGTTGAAGCTTTACATGCTTCAACACCAAAAAGAGGACATACTTAACAGCACAAGTGTCTCAACTGTGCAAAGTCTACACAGCCATCTCATTAGCTGTCAGTAAATCATACATTCATGTGTTATGTAACATCTTCAGCCCTAAAAATATCCTTAATTACATAATAATATATTAAACTACTGATGGTATGCAGTCCTTCCATCTATCCATCCACTATCATCTACTTATCCAGGGTCAGGTTGCGGGGGCAGCAGCCTAAGCAGAGAAACCCAGACCCTCTCCCCAGTCACTTGGGCCAGCTCCTCCAGGGTAATCCCAAGGCGTTCCCTGACCAGCTGAGGAACATAGTCCCTCCAATGTGTCCTGGGTCTTCCTTTAGGCCTCCTCCCTGTTGGATGTACCTGGAAAAACTCACCAGGGAGGCGTCCAGGAGGCATCCTAAGCAGATGCCCAAGCCACCTCAACTGGCTGCTCTCAACTCTACTCCGAGTCCCTCCTGGATGACCGAGCTTCTTACTCTATCTCTAAGGGACAGCCCAGTCACCCTGCAGAGAAAATGAATTTTGGCCACTTGTATTCACGATCTTGTTCTTTTGGTCACTACCCAAAGCTTGTGACCATAGGTGAGGGTTGGAACGTAGATCGACCACTAAATCGAGAGTTTCACCTTCCAGCTCAGCTCTCCCTTCACCACAATGACCGGCAGACACAGCACCAATCTGCCTATCGATCTCGCGATCCATCTTTCCCTGTCATATGAACAAGACCCTGAGATCACATCATCGGCAAAAAGCAGAGATCTGGTCCTCAAGCCAACAAAACGGAGCCCTTAAACATCTCGGCTGCACGTAGACATCATGTCCATAAAGAACAGAATCTGTGATAAAAGGCAGCCTTGGCGGAGTCCAACTACTCACCAGAAACTAGCCTGACTTACTACCCGACAATGCTGACCAAGCTCTGACACCCGTCATACAGGGACCTAACAGCCCGTATCAAGGGACCTGGTACCCCGTACTCCCAGAGTACCCCCCACAAGGCCCCCAAGGGATGTGACTAAATGCCTTCTCCAAATCCCCAAACACATGTAGATTTGTTGGACAAAATTTTTTTTAGAAGTTACAAAATCCCTTTGAGTATACTTTAATTTCCTAATAAAGTCACAATGTCAGCATACCGCAGTTAAGACTGCTAGTGCACAGCAGCGTAAAGCTGATCTTTCTTCTGTAATTTTGTAACTTTGGCACTCAGCACAAATATGGCAGCAGAATCGATCATAATCTAGCAGTAAATATAAATGACAATGAATGAAATATCAGAATGTGAAAAGAAATGTGTGTTAGTTAAATTCATCTCAATATCTGCATTATAAAAACAAAGAACCTATATGGTTTTGACAAAATCTCTGTTCCCTTCCTTTCAGTTGACTTCTACTCATTTAATTGCTCTTCTGAAACAAGTGAAGTGTGCAGAGAGCAAATGAAACCAAAGGTTTTTATCTCTCTTTAAAGCGACTTTATTACCACCAGCCACTCTGGAAGAAAAACAATTAAAAGGCTGAGCTTTTGTGTTTTTAAAGAGATGTGTGTGTACACAGAGGCAGCGGTGCAGGCTGGGAAAGGCTGCTTTTAATGACTCATCCTGGTTTGTGAGCTCAGACTATAGGACGTGGGTCATATTTGCTTTTATTAAAAACAGAATAAATAAAGAAAAATAACAGGAAGATGTGAACTTTAGAGATAACATGTGCCATCTTCAAATGACTTACCGGTACTTGGTATATGGAACTTTGCTTTGATTAAGAAAAATTGCATTTGCTTTTGAAGTCTTCTTAGTTTGTATTCACTAAACTTTAAAATCTAATTGTTTCATGCCAAAAGGTCTCTGTTCTATGAAATGCCATCCAAATACATGCACATTCTCACAAACACACCAACCAGGCTAATGGAACACACTCCCCTCCTCCTCACTCACTGGCTGCCATAGGTTACCAGCAGGGGCACATTTGCATGACAGATCTTAGCAAGAGGGAATGTGTTGCATTAGGCAAATTATTCACAAGCTTGGAGCCTCAATATGTCACATGGGCAGATTCTTACTATTTTTAGGTCTTTTGTTGGAGCATGCTCTCTCTCCCACACAAGCATATGTACAAACACACACACACACATACATACACACACACCTCCTCATGCCCACACACTCAGACACCATTATAGTGGCAGTAATTACCATCTCCATGTGTGCATCCATGGAATTGCACACCCGTCCCCAAAAATGTTGATGGACTAGAAAAAAAGTCACTGCAAACAGCTTAATTGCAGCTGGTTTTGTTGTAATCCGCTCCTGAACGGAGCGTACAAAAACTTGATGGGCTGGCTGGAGGGAGACACATTTCAGTCTGGTCGTGGGAATGCACTGAAGAGGAAATGGAGAGAAAGGTGGGAATCCCACGTGAGCATCCTGTTCGCAGAGAGAGGCCCAGTGAACAGCAGGATCTCTCCATGACCCTGCGGCACGGGAATGGGAATTTTTAAGAGACAGTGTTCTAAAAGTGTGAACCAGAGGCCACCTATGCTAGAAATATTTTGAGCAGCAATGATGTTAGTCATAGTGGTCAGTCATCCCATAATCTATGGGGAATACATGAGATGAGAAGTTAAAAATAGTCAGGGCCAGCAAGGTGGGTGTGTTCATGCGCAGAAGGCAGTCTATTCCTACACCTACAGCGTAAAGGAACAGGATTACAGTGTGTGTATGTATGTGTGTGTTGGTAACTAAAGATAGTTTCCTTCCTTCCTTTGCTCCAGGCTGTAAAATGACGGTTTCCTTTCCACACTGGGCTCTTATTTCTACGTCTGTGCACCCCTGGTGTTATAAAACACGCAAACACATGCTCGCTCGCACGCAAACACACACACACACGCACACACACACACACACACACACACACACACACACACACACACAAGCACACACTTCATTTGACA